TGATTAGTTGTAAAACTGTTTTTGATTTTTAAAAAATTAAAAAAAAAAAAAAAAAAAAATTGTGAAATGAATGGCATTACGTATCCATAAAAGTGTTCTACAAGTAACCATTCAGAGCTCATAAGCGCAACGTGCACAAATATTTCAAGTGCTTTTTCTTGCATCAGTGCACAAATACCTGTGCACTAGTGCTCAAAAACACTACTTCAGGCACTGCGTGTCAAAAAAATATGTGGTCATTTAAAAAAGTAAAGTTAGGCAAGTACACAGGGCACAGGAAAAAACGTCAATGTGTTTCAGCGAAGGTTCCCTAGGCGCTGAGTACAGTTTCGACGAAGAGGTGCCCTTAAACGGTCTCGTCATCATCAAGGGTGATGTACCAGTGTCCAACAACTGCTACGCGCCTGACCACGTCGACAACTCCTACAACGGCACAAGGACCCCCCAAACGGCGGAGGACTACGACAACGGGGAAGACTCCGACGATGGCAAGGTACGTCTTTTGTTCCCTCCATGGTTTGGGCAAAACGCATCCCCACCGTGTTTTATTTAGTGTACGATGATTATTTGCTTTGCGTAAAAGGACGAAGACGCCAACGAAGGGACACTCGAGGACATCGCCGAAAACGTCGTCAGCAGCGAAAGCGAGGCCCCGGTCTCGGAACGGGCGGCTTCTGGTTTCAGCGACAGTCCGTCTTACGGCAGCCCAAGGGTCCAATTTGACAAGATACGCGAAGAGGACGGCCACGTGATGAACGCCAACGAGGCCGCTGATCCCGAGGACGACGACGACAAGCGACTGCAGAACCGCAGGCACCATAAGCACGACAAGTAAGGCGGCATCAATGTGTTACTTTGTCGCTTATTTTTTAGCGGTGCGGTTTGTCAGGGATTTCGTGTTTCGAAAAACTACTTTGGTTATTCGATAGGGGTCCATTTGACCGGTACACTATAAAATTGTCCAAGTGTGTTCAAGTACATGATTGAATCGTGTAATTAAAATTTTTGTTTTTTACTAAATGCATCGTAATAGAGTTGATAAACGTTTAAAGAGAAATCAAATCGATGCTTCGCAAACTATTTCACCTACTCCATTAAACTAAACAATTTTTTTCATCAACGATCGATATAAGAAGGCTGTACACAGCAGAAAATTTCTCACAGATTTTATACACTTGCCAACGTGCGAAATATGTGCCAGTCAAGTTTTTTCTCTCTTCAGTCTTCCTATGTTGTTTTTTTTTTTTTTTTTTTTTTTTTTTTTTTTTTTTTTTAATTTAAAAAAAAAAAATTCGTTTTTATCAATATTTTTTAAAATGTGTAAATATAAAAAAGTTATACCAGTCCAATTTACGTATTTGACATTTCAGAATTAAGCATTAAGTACAAAACTTGTGAATTTCAGAAAAAAAATGTTTGCTCCGAGTATATTTTTCTCGAAGGCCAAGTATAAGTTTTCAATCCTAAATTTTTTTTTTTTAATTAATAGTATATCTGTAAATCTATCAAAGATGGCACTTGAACGCATAAAAATTAATCTATATTGATTTGGTGCAAATAATAAGTTTTTGCTTGATTTACATGCAAAAGCGCATGTAAACAATTCTGGTGAATGTACTGATTGAAAATAAAAATTGAAAATTACTCAGAAAAACAGGTTATCGTAAACATTATTAATTTTGTTTACGAACTAAACTCTTATTTTCTGTAAAAACTTGGGCTACTTATCATGTATAAGGTTGACAGTGAACATTTTTTTTGTTTTGTTTCAGAACACCGAAAAAAGAGCTATCCACACCCGCATATGCCATTGAAGAGTCTCCACTCGAGGTCTATGCGACGTCATTTATCACCGTAAGTCTCGACCTTTCATCAACAGCATGTCCCTAGTTGGCTCAACACTGCCGATACCACGTATAAAAATTTCAAACGAAATATTTACCTTCCTCCAACTGCACATGGACTCCACCCTTTTGTTCCACGGTGTCAATCAGAAAAAGGGGATTAGGCTCCATTAATACCATTCCTCTGTCTTTCGTGGTGATTTTTCATTGCGAGCCTTCTTTCGTTTTTCTTATCATTCAATACAAAAATAGGAAAAAAAAACAAAAATACATTTACATAATGAAAAATCTACCAATGCATCTGTGCACACCCTATTTCTTTCTTTTTTTTTTTTTGTGCTCTCAGGCGTAAAGCCGATGAATTGTACGACTCCTACTCCAAGAATAAAACACCACTCCCTCTCCGCGAAAAAAAAAAACAGGTCTGCCGCACTGAATACTCAATTTTTTTTCACCCCCTCCCCCTTTTTAGATAACATTTATGCTTGGCACGTGTCTGCTCACGCGCTTTCGGGGTATAGATCTTGTGGTACATGTTTTTTCAAGAAAAGCAACGATAATTCGCAAAGTGTTGCATTCGTTGTTGGTTGATTGTATTACGATTTATGGTTTTTACGACCAGAATGACGCATCGATGAAACTGTGGGGATCCCGGCACGTATTTTCGTGCGCTTTATTGGGGTTTTTGTTTTCGGATGTTAATTTTGTTTTTTGTCACTTTAGATGAGCTTTTTGAGGAAGTGAGAAAAAGAAAATTATTATTTT